GTTGCCCGGGGTGGGGCCCCCCCCCGCCTCTCTGGGCAGCCTGTGCCAGTGCCTCACCACCCTCGGCGTAAAAAATTTCTTCCCTATATCCAGTCTAAATCTATTCTTTAGTTTAAATCCATTAAGGGCAGCTGGACGTTATATACGTGCCTTGGGTCATACACAGAGATCGGACCGGGTAAGCCAGCAAGTTCCCCAGCCTTAAAACATACAAAGTAGACAACTACAACATCTGGATGTGTTTTGGGAGCACAGCTGGCTCTCGCAGGCTCCGGCAGCGCTGTAGCCGCTGCGGTGGGCATGCTCTTGGCCGGGATGCCGGCGCGCTGCGCTGACGTTTCTCTTTGACGCTTGTAGCTGCCGCATCGTTGCGTCGCGATGGTTTGTACCTGTCGCTGCTGCTGCAGCCGGTCTCGGACCTGTGCCCCTCTCGTGGGGACTGTCCCCTCCTGGCTGGTCCACGCTGACCTCCGGGGCTTGGTGCTGCTGGTTGCTGAGCGTTGCGCGCTGTTCCTCGCCCGGCGTGAGGTTTCCAGTAGCCTTAGCGAGTTCAGGGCTCTTCTGGCCTGACCAGGATCTGTAGCTGGAGACACTGAGGCTAAAATCTGCTACCAGGGCTGGAGCCATGAGTTGGCACCGGGATGGAGAGCTGGTGGGTGCAGCAGGACCCAGCAGAGACTTGGTCTGACCAGAAAGGATGGGGCCAAGCCTGCTGGGAGAGGCAATACCGGTCTCTGAGCCTCCTCTGCTCCTAACGAACGGCTTCATGCTTTGGGCCACCACCGCCCGTCCAGGCACGGCTCCCGTACCAGCTCCTTGTAAGTGGCTGCCGCTTTCTTTTGCTCCTTTAAGGAAAACTGAATTTCCACCAGCCCCAGGTCTTCCAGAAGATAGCCACCGACCTGCACCCCCACGTTTCGGCCATGACGCCCGTCGAGGTGACGCGCTGCATCAGATCCTTCGCCCTCCTCAAGTGGCTCAGCCTGCCGCTGTCTGAGGCCGTTGTGCAGGTGAGGAGGAGGAGGTTTGGGAGGGAAGGGAAGCCGGTGGCACCGGCACGACTGTGATCCACCCCAGTTCCCGGGAGATGGGAGCAGTTTCCCCCTCACCTCTCCAGAGATGCTCTCTGGGATGTTGCCGCTGTTTTTTCTACCCAGCCGGCGGCCGTAATCGAGTCTGACAGGACTCACTGTTCATTTTCCGCTAAAGTCAGCACTGGCAATCCGTGCTGAGCTGGGGCCGGTTTCGGCTCCGTGTGAGCCTCCGCTCCCGAGTGCCGGCGCTGTTTCTCTCCCCAGGCGCCTTCCCAGCTCTGCCCCAGTTTATGCGCCTGCACTTTTGCATCTGTACTGGAATATCAGAGAGCTCTGCCTCCACTCGCGGCTTTCCCTCGTGCCAAGATAAAATCCCAGGGAAGCACTGAACGACCTTTTGCTCGTGTTTTCCCATCTCGCCGCGGGGCTGGATGCGTCCTTGGCTGACGCTTTCAATCTTTTCCTGTCCATACTCACGTAGGACAGACCTAAACCTCTGCTTTTGCTCCCTGTATCTTCCAGTATGCCCTGGACAACACCAAGGAGTTGTCAGTCACCCATCTGTGCAGTATCATCCTGTCTTTTGCTCGCCTGAACTTCCAGCCCAGCGGAAGCGAGGACTTCTTCAACATGGTAACCTTCCTCTTTTCCCTCCCCATCTTCATCAACCTTCCTCCCTCCCTAGCCAGCGGGAAGGCTGCACATCTCCTAGCACATCCACATGCGAAAATGGGTGTTGGATGGCTCAATCCAGCTGTTAATGGTGTGGGAAAGGGGAGCCTGAGCTCGGGCTGGGCTGAAAACCGCACTGCGCTCCCCTGGCTGCGTGCTGGGCAATAGCTGAACCAGTTAGTCCAAGACTAGCTTGAGCTCCCCCCGGCTCGCTTTTCTAGCAGACACAAGCAGCGCATGGGTGTTCACATGCCCTCCTGACCTCCGATGGCTGTAATTAACTCTTTGTAATGAAGCCGTAGGTGTTGACGGTTGCACGCCCGCTCCTGGCAGAGCTGTGTGGCTCTCCCTGCCGAGCCAAGCCCTCGGTCTGGTAGCGCTGAGGCTGCTCCCCCAGCTCCGGGGAGCTGTCGAGGAGGGTAAAGGCTGCCATGGGCAGACGTGCGCGCTGTCTCCCTGCCTGGGGGGAAGGTTTCCACGTCCCAAGGTGAGGAGACGTGAGCGGCTGGCATGGCCGAGCGGAGGGGGAACCTCCTGCGTGGTTTAGCAAGAGGCTGGCAGGAGGTGAGCGTGGGGTAGATGCCTTCCTCGGCGTCCTCCTGCCTTCCTCAGCGTCCTCCTGCCTTCCTCGGCTCACGGAGGCAGCCAGGCTGGCTTCTGAAGCAGAGGAGGAAGTCACCTTGACCTCCTTGGGGACAGATTGATGCTGACGATTTCCAGAAAGGAGCCGCGTCGTCGCTGAGTAAGCGGGCGTTCGCCGAGCACCCGGCAGAGGGAGTGTGGCTGGGCC